GACCATTCAGATGTTAGAAGTGACTATCTGGATGGTCTCCCAATAGGGGGTTGCCTGTCAGCCTTTGCCGATCAGTGGACAGCCATAACCATGGACCAGTGAACCTAAATACAATAAAATTTAGCCTGTTGTTGGAATTTCTCCTCCTCCCCCCCCCCCGATGCTTTTTCTCCCTTGTGCTGCTTCTTGGGAACCATCACGCAGGCTCCTGATGGAACAAGCCATCCAACACCTGATGGAGATCCAGGCAATTCAATCGGTCCCTCTGAATCAGGTAGGTCAAGGGTTTTACTCACAACTGTTTGTTGTCCCAAAAGATCAGGGGGGTGGAGAGCAATCCTTGACCTAAAGACTCTGAATCTGTATATCAAATACTGCAGGTTCAAAATGCTTTGCCTCCAAACAATTCTGGAAGGGATCAAGGAGGGTGACCACCTAACATCGGTGGACTTAATGGAGGCATACATCCATATCCCATATACTGCCTGCCCACAGATAGTACCTACGTTTCTGCTATGCATCAAAGCACTACCAGTACAAGGCGCTCCCGTTTGGCCAAACATTGCTCCGAGAGTGTTCACCAAGATATTAGAAACAATAGCAGTCCATCTTCATGCCCAGCCCATCAGACTACAGTGCTACCTTGACGATGTGCTGATACAGGTCAGCACACCAGGCATGCAGGGATCTCCAGGCCAGTCTGTCAATACTTAGAGAACATGGGTTCTCCATAAACATGGAGAACAGGTCTATCACTGGAACGCCAAACCTGTTGATCAGTTTGAGGGACAGCTAAGGTGTTATGCTCCATCCTGCGTGATCGACTTGGGATTGACTCAGCCAGTCTGCCGGGACATTGTCCACCCCGCTGATATGTTCCATGTGGAGAGACAATAGATGAAGTTCCACCCAGGTGCCCAGGCGATTCACCTTGTCCATCAGAGCAGGGGACCACATGTCCCCTTGCCGGTTTATATGTGCTTTCATTATTATATTGTCCATGAGGACTAGCACATGTGAGTTTGTCCCAAGGTCTCGGAACTGCTTGAGCACTAGATGAACAGCTCGCAGCTCAAGCCAGTGTTTTCTCTCGCAAGGAGACCAGGTGCTCTGTGTCATTTGAGAGAGGAGATGGGCCCCCCAAACCGCGAGGGTGGCATCCGTGGTGACCATGATTCAGGCTGGTTCCTGGAAGGAAGACCCCTGGGCTACTTTTGGAGAGAGCCACCACCCCAGGGACCTGGTTACCTCTGTTAGTAATGTGATAAGTCTTGGTGAGCAGCTTGTGTTGGCTCTTTGGAATGGCAATAGGAACCACTGCAGTTTCCGGCTGTGCAGTCTGGACCAGGAAACAATGCTGAAGCAGGAGACCATCTTCTCCAGCAGTTGGGAGAGACAGAGTAGAGATGTTCTGCGGCTCCTTTTCACCTGTCCAGCCATCTGCTGCAGACTGGAGAGACGGTCTGGGGAGAGAAAGACTGTGTCCTGCACCTCTCAACAACAAGCTGCCCACCTTGGGCCCCGGGTCAGCAGGGATGGATGATCTCCATTGCAGGTGGACGGGGGGCTACTATACACTTGTGATGGTTCAGAGGGTCATCAGCAAGATGATCAAGGAGCGGGCTGAGCTCATTCTTCTAGCCCTCACTGGCCATGCAGGCCATTGTTCACGGACTTGGACAACCTCTTGGTGGCCCCTCTGTGGCGGATCCCCCTGCACAAAGCCACCCTGACACAAAGCTCGCTCGTCCATCCTGACCCACTGTGGATACAGTTGACCCCTTGGAGATTGAGCGGACAGCCCTAGCTGCGGTGAACCTCTCTGCAAGGGTCATTCAGACTCTCCAAGCCTCCAGGCGCACCTCAACCAATCGTATCTATATAATGCCACCTGGAGGGCCTTCCACACCTGGTGCAACAGTCACGATATTGTCCCAACCTTAGCATCAGTTCCAGCAATCTTGGACTTCCTCCAGCAAGGACTGGACTCTGGACTTTCTATCAACACCCTAAAAGGACAAGTGGCTGCACTAGCGTTGATTCTCATATCTCCATTCTCCGAGACTCACTCTCACCATCCATTAGTGACTTGATTTCTCAGGTGAGTGGCCAACATCAGCCCTCCCACCATGCATAGTGCCCATCTGGGACCTGGACAGAGTTCTGGATGCTCTCACTAAATCCCCCTTTGAGCCACTTGGCACCATCTGCATGAGGTACCTGTCCCTGAAGGTCGGCTTTTTGGTGGCAATTACCTTTGCACACCACATCTCTAAAATTGCAGCCCTGTCTACTAGACAAGACCTTTTCCATGAGGACAGGGTGGTGCTTCGACTTGAGCCAGCTTTCATCCAAAAGTCAATAGTAGATTTCACAGGCCCCAGGCGATCGTCCTCCCCAATTTTTGTCTTTCCTCTGCGCATAGAGTTTAGCACAAATGGCACAAGCCGCACATTCCACATCTACATCTCGAGAACTGCTTCCTTCCAGTGCTTGGAGGCCTTGTTTCTTTCTTTTCATCAAACTAACATGGGTGCCAAAGTCTCTTCCAGGTCTGTCGGACGCTGGATCCGGTCCTGCATCTTGAAAACATATGGAGTTCTTGAACTACCTTTCCCACCTCATGTGACAGCGCATTCAACATGCAGCGCAGCTGCCTCGGCAGCATGGTCTACCCAAATCTCCATGGAGAAAATTTGCAAAGCGGCTACATGGTCTTCACTATCTTCATTCATCAACCATTATAGACTAGACAGATATGCATAAGCAGATGCTGCTGTTGGCAGGAGGGTACTTCAAAAAGTCAGAGCTGAACATTTGGCTTCATGCCAGTCATCTACCCACCCTTAACTCTATGGGCAAGCTTTGGTATGTCCCATTCTGGCTGCTGTCTCCACCAACTGGGGAGAATGGGCCTTGGTCCTTACCTGATATACCCGTTCTCTGGACGGTGGAGACAACAGGCAGCCCCATCCTTAGCTGACTTTATTCTGGGACTCTTTTTACTGATTTTTTGACTTGAATAGGTTGGGGGATAATGGAGGAGAGTGTGAGAGTGTTATCTATTCTTGTGATTAGCACCATGCGTCAGTCTACAGATCTACCTTCATTAAAGCTGGGAGGAGTCACCAGTAGTACCAGTGATGTCATAGCTATAGACTCAGTCCAATTGGTCACTGGACAGAGACAACTCATTCTGGCTGCTGTCTTCACCGTTCGGAGAAAGAGCGTATCAGGTAACGACCAAAGCCCATTTTGGCAGCACTCCTGTTTGTAAACTAAGATTTGCTAAGATCATTTCTGTCATAGTACATTAACATACATACAGAAGATATGCAGGATTCAATGCCTTCATAAAATATATTTTTTAAAAATATATATTTGCATTTCAGACTTCAGAAGTGTCATGAATGGGGGCGAAGCAGTAAAAGTATTTAATGGAATTTTCTTGCTTACAAGAAAATTTTGCAGTAATAATATTTGAACTTGAAGCATTTTTAAAATTATCTTCTAACTGACATTTTGTGCAGATAATGTTTAATTCAGTAAGGCTTCTGAAAGGTAATTGATACCAGGACTGCAAATGAATTATTTATATAATTATTGTTACAAACATCTCTGATATCAACCTCAATACAAAAATCTGGATTACCGTATTTTTCAGAGTATAAGATGCACTGGAGTATAAGACACACCAAGGTTTTGAAGAGGCCAATTTAAAAAAAAAAGTTTTACACTCTGCAAACCTCCCAAAAACATGAATGTTTTTTCCAAAAAAGGGCATGAATAGTCTTGTAGGAGGCTTGTAGAGTGCTCCTGGGGGGTGTCCCCTCAAAACGAGCAAAAAACACATTTTTTTTGTGAAAATGAGCCTTTTTTTGGTCAAAAAAAAGGGGGCATGCATAGCCTTTAGTGCTCATGGGGGCTGTGGGGGGCAAAATTGAGTAAAAAATTGGCCATTTTTTGCCCTTCCCACGCCCCCAGGAGCAGTCTGCAAGGCACCTAAAGGCTATGCACAGCCATTTTGGTGAAGGGGACGGGGTTTTGGGAGGCAAAAAATGCTGTATTCAGTGTATAAGATGCACCCAGATTTTCAGCCTCTTTTTTGAGGGAAAAAGGTGCATCTTATACTCCGAAAAATATGGTAATACAATATATGCTTAAATGTTTATATCAGCACCGTTTGTTGGAATTCACTTGATCCTTTATTGGTTATAAATATATCACCAATGCTAAAGATCTGTTTATTTATTAAATCGATACATATGGCTGCCCACCTGCAAATGTAATTTTGGACTGTTAACAACACTTTAAAAGCAATGGATTTTTTTTAAAATCACACATAAAATATGTTGAAGCACTGTTTAATTTTGGTTTTTCTAAATTTTCTTAAAGAGCTTGGCAACTTTACTAATAACTTCACAAGTCCTTAATCAGTTTGTGGAAGCTGCACTGCCTTATTGGCTACAAAAAAGAAGGAATAAAACAGTAGAGAAAAAGGTGAAAGCACTGGAAATAGATACTGACATGTCCTTATTTGAACAAGTTAATATGGAAAAAGGAATGGATACTTACTTGGTAAATTATGCTATCTCCTTTCTTCTAATCCTATTAGATTTAATTCAAGTTTATTCAGTCAGTGATTGCCAAAATGATAAAATACACAATTTTAATCCAAAATTCCATCTAGTTTACCTGCTTTTCTAAGTTTACATGTCTTGTATATACCTATCAAGTAAAATTTAATACATGTCCTCGTGAATCCAGACTTGACTATTCCACTTGTAATACTTGTCAGTTTTCCTTTTGTTTCTTTAATTTTTTTCCCCTTTGGGAAATGGCTGTCATTAATGGAAAAACTTTTGGGGATCAGCCTATTTTTGTCATTAGCTTTTAAGAGTATTTAATTTAGGGTTATGTTTAGCAATAATGATAGTAATTGCTATATGTGGTATAGAAATTATGTTGAATGTAGCTGTACTTTAGGAAAGAAAATGATCAAAATGGATGACTCATAGTTAGATGTACACCTTTTCTTATGCAACAATGTCTTGAAACTCTTGTTTCATGTGAAATGATTACATAAATATGATTAATTAGACTTCAAACAGCAATAATTTATAATGAATACTCTCATTTTAATCCTATTGTCCACTTTCATCTTTTTAATTAATTAGCCATGTACATAAATTTGCCAGGTGTTGTAAAGCTGCTTCTTATTTGAAAATTATTAATAAAATATTGTCTTTCTTTTCAGGATACTTTTGATGATTATTTGGAGTTGTTTTTACAATTTGGTTATGTGAGCCTTTTTTCATGCGTCTACCCTTTGGCTGCTATTTTTGCTGTGCTAAACAACATCACAGAGATGTATTCCGATGCCTTAAAAATGTGCAGTGTTTTTAAACGCCCATTTTCAGAGCCTGCTGCAAATATAGGTGTATGGCAGGTAATTCATGTAAATAATTATGTTTTCTAAACTTTATAGATATTATTAGCATTGAGAAGATTAAGTCAAACATAACATATTTTTTAAGAGGCAACTGCACTTTCTTAAGTTTTTTTGCAGACATTCCATTTCTCATCCAAGAAGCTTCTGGATGGTGGGAATCAGGGGTGGGTTGCTGCCGGTCCTTGCGAACTGGTTGGTCAATGGACCCGGAAGTAAGTTCCGGAACGCCTGCCCCGCCCCTGGCCCTGTATACCTGGCTCAGAAAAGCAACTCCGGGAAGGTCTTTTGGTGGCGCTCCCTTGTCTTTCAAGCCGCCTCATTTCCAATGGGTGGGGGGGGGAGAAATTGATCTTTTTTGTCCCTCTCCATGGATCCCCACCCCAATTGGAAACAAGGTGGCTATGAAAGAGAAGGGAGTGCGACCCACACTGCATATACAGACAGCAAAAGAAAGAACAGGAGAGGAGTTCCAAGTGGGGCTTTTCAAACAGCCAAACTCCTCTTCTGTCCCTTCTTTTGCTGTTTGAACAAGCTGTGTGGGTTGCGCTCCCTTTTCTTTCACAGTCACCTCGTTTCCAATTGGGGGAGGGGGGAAGAAATCAATTTTTTTCCGTCCCTCTCCATGGATCCCCACCCCAATTGGAAACGAGGTGGCTATGAAAGACAAGGGAGTGTGATCAGCACTGCATGTACAGATAGCAAAAGAAGGAACAGGAGAGGAGTTCCAAGCGGGGCTTTTCAAACAGCCAAAATCCTCTCCTGTCCCTTCTTTTGCTGTCTGTACAAGCCGTGCGGGTTGCCCTTGTCCTGGCTGCCCCGCTGCCCGTGCACTCCTATGTTTTCCAAGGCATGGAGCGATTCCGGAGCCCATCCGTCACCCCTGTGGAAAACATAAGCGCGCACACACAGCCTGCACAATTACAGCCCTGGAGAGTGGAGACTCTCGGAAGGAAGCCAGAGGCAGTGGGGCAGCCGGGTCCCTCGCCCTCAGAGGGAGGAAGGGTCAGTTGGGAGAGGGGCTTTGGTCCTGCTGCCTCTGGTGGACGAAGCTTTACTGGCCCGTGGCGAAGATTGCGTCCCTCATCCTGGAGCCTTCAGAACTTGTTCTCATTCGCCCGGGCTTGTGTAGAGGCTTCACTCTCCAAGCCTGCAATTGTGCAGGCTGTGTGTGCACGCATATGTTTTCCACGGGGATCAAAGATGGGCTCTGGAGTTGCTCCACGGCGTGGGGCTGTGGCTGGAACACCAGGAACGTGAGGGGGACCAGCGGGGCCTCGTCCTTTTGGAGAGGACCTGTCCCCAAAGAGAGCAGATGTGATGGCATTGGTTTTGGGATGTTCTGCGGAGCCCACCAGGGAAGAACGCTGCTGCCAGATACTTTTAACCATATATTTTGTTCCGATATCTGCAGAATGCTGCAAAAAACCATGAATACATGCCAGTTGTTGAGTGTTTCAAATGTGATTGGAACACTCAACAAGGTGACCCCAGTATGTATGTGTGTATCTGTTTGTGTGTCTATGTGTGATAGAGACAGACAGACAGACAGAGGCACAGAGAGATAGAGGGAATGAGAGACAGACACAGAGGGAGGGAGGGAGGAGAGAGATACACACACACACACAGACAGACAAACAGACAGAGAGAGAATCACATAGAGAGACACAGAGAGAGGGAGGGGGGAAGGAGAGAGAGGCAAAGACACACACACAAACACACACACACAAACACACAAACTCACACACAGAGAGAAAAAGAATGGAATAAAGAAAAAAAGAAAGAAAAAGAGAGAGAGATGAAAGAAAAAAAGAAAAAAGGGACAGAGAGACAAAAGGAAGGAAAGAGAGAGAAAGAGAGAGAGAGATAAAGAAAGAAAGAAAACACATGGTCGGCAAGCCACTCCCAGAAAAGAGGCCATACCCACAGAGTAGGTTCCAAAATTTTTTGAAACCCACCACTGGTGGGAATGAATGGTGGGAATTGAAGGATTTATATTCCTTGCAGGCAGCTGGTCATTTGCATTCTTTTAGAGAGTTGTTGAGGTCATTTGGAGGTTTATCTGTGACCTCAGGGTCACCTGAATAGTGCAAATGGGTGTGGAGCCTTCTTGGAACTGCCGAAAGAATTGTGTGTTGACTGGAGATATATAATGTCATAACACTCCCCCTGTTGAGAGAGGGCTGTTCAGTTTTGACATAGATGGCATCTTTGACACCTCTTTCAAACCAGCAGTCCTCTCTGTCCAAAATGTGAACTTTGCTGTCTTCAAAAGGTTGGTATTTGTCTTCTAAATGCAGATGGCCAGCTGAAATTTGTTCTGATAGGTTTGTTCTCCTATGTTGTGCCATGTGTTTATGAAGTGGTTGTTTTTGATATGACAACTAGAGTACGTGCTCACAACCAGCAAACCTGTTGCTAAAGTCCACCTCTGGGTTCAGCTGATAGTGGGGTATTCCAGGAGGCCGATCCACCCACTAATCAGCTGCTTGAGCTGAATCAGGCTAAGCATGCTAGCCAGATGAATACCGATGGATGCTGGTAGAAAGAGGCAGAATATTTTTTTCTTATTTTCCTCCCCAAAACTAAGGTATGTCTTATACTCTAGAGCATCTTATACTCAGAAAAATACGGTAAATGTATCATTGCTGAAATTATGCAGATTCTTATCCAGTTGTAGGTGCCAATGAATATTAAACAGAGTATCAGAATATAATGTGATTGTAGTTAATACATTTTATTTATTTTTTATTTCCTTGTTTCTTTTAGATGGCTTTTCAAACTATGACTGTAATCTCAGTTATTACAAACTGTATCCTAATTGGCATGTCACCGCAAGTAAATGCACTCTTCCCAGATTCCAAATCTGAACTTATCATAATTGTAGTGTTGGCAGAGGTAAGCTAAGGTTTAAATATTTCTTATATTTCAGAAAAAGTTACTATGTCTTACATATAATTTCTTGACTACCTTTATCTTGGCAATCAATTAATCCTGAAAGTTGTGTTAATGTTTTAATACTTTAGCAATCCCTTTGTACCATATTACATCTCTGCTGTAAAATATGAGTTGGTTATAGAAAGCACACACTTTATCTTGATAGAGGAGACTCATGAATTTGGTTTATGAAGGACAGTTATAAAGGCAAGATAGGTAAATGCAAAAGGGGTATTGTTGAAAACATCATTTCTTCATTCCCCCCACCTTGCTGTTTATTATATCCGACTAAGAAAAGACAAGGAAGCAAGGCTAAGAGCAATTGTTGGCAGAGATAAGAATTTACATCCACAATCAACTATAGGTAGTCGTCAACTAACGACCAATCATTTAAGGACTGTTCAAAGTTATGATACCGCCCCCCCAAAGGTAATTATGTCTTGAAGTTACATCTACTGCAACACACCTGTGGTTGTTTATCTTTAAGACTGACTTCAGAGAAGCTGCAGCACCCTGCCTATTCCCCTCTCCCATCCTGCCTGTCCAGATTCCCACAGGCATTGGCCTTGTTTGCCATGCTACTGGATTCTATATACTCTTCCCCATCCCACCCCTATCACCTACCTTTTCATCTCCAGAACTCAGTAGGTCGGGGTAGAGAAGAGGGACAGGCCTTTTTGTTACTGGGCCACATGGCCCAATCCCACAAACAGCCATCAATTTCTGAGCAAAATATATACTGATGAAGCTAAGGCTAGGTTTAGCAAAGAACAGAAAGCTGAGAGTTTGGAAATTGAGATCATTTCCAATTGTACTTTTAAATATATTTATCAATAGGAATAAAACTATTTTTGTTCATTTGCCATATATGATGGTATGGGTCCCCATTAGGAGTCTCTCAAGTTTCAGTCTCATATATCTTTATATCATGTTCTGGGGCCAAGTTTTCTTTTCCAAATTTAAAGTTGCTGGGTTCTCTTCCCACTTCTAAAAATGAATCTCTAGATCAAAATAACCATGCATATGAAAAACTAAGAAATCATTTCTTTATAAGACCATCAATTGTGTAGACTATGAATGGAAAAACCATGTTTCCCCAAAAATAAGACACACCCTGCTAATAAGCCCAATTGGGCTTTTCAGAGCATGTGCCATAATAAGCCCTCCCCTGAAAATAAGCCCGCCCTCCAACTATTTAAGCGCATGTGCAACTGGTCCCTACCATTACCACTGTACCACCTATTGGTACAGCTTCCAGGGCAAAAAGAGGGCCTGCCATAAAAAGAGCTGCAGGCGAGCAATGTGATCACTCCCTCCTGCCTGTTCCCTCTCGCGCAAAAAAATACCGCCCACCCCACCTCAATGGTAAAGGCAGCCTGCCTGGTTCCCTTCCCCACCGCCCCTTTAGCGAGGGGTGGCAGATGAGGGGGGGGAGAGAAAAGCGAGGTGCACGTCCTAGCACTACCAGATTGACAGCTCCGCTGCATTCCTCACCCTTCTGTCCATTGAAGCCCCTTGTAAAAAAAACCTTGTGAGTTGAACTCATGAGGTTTTTTTTACAAGGGGATTCCTTGGACAAAAGGGCGAGGAACACGACAGACCTGGAAAAGTAAGAGGCGCGCCTCGCGGCCCAAAACCGCCCACCTCTCCCCAATGGTAAAGGCAGCCTGCCTGGTTCCATTCCCCACCGCCCCTTTAATGAAGGGTGGCAGGTGGGGGGGGGAGAAGTGAGGTGTGCCTCTTACCTGTTCAGCCCTGGTGCGTTCCTCGTCCATTCCTCCAGTGAAGCCACTTGTAAAAAAAACCTCGCGAGTTGAACTCATGACCTGGACCTCAAGGGTCAAGTGGGTCTGCTGCTTACGTACCTGCCTCCCAACTGCGTTGCAGCAGCCCTCCCCTCGCTCCTCGAGTC